TTTAAGACTCTGTGATTTCACCCGTATGGACATTCCCTCCATCTACAGAAGTAGCATCCCCTCTACAGGATGGCCTCTGAGCCCTGTTGAGAATTGCTGTGGCTAAAAAGTTCATCTTCCTGAGGACGGTCTGGTGAGCAGACCTGGCGAGGCTGGGGCTCCAATCGCATTCTGTTAGTCACTGAGCCCAGAATGTTCCGGGTGGGAAGGGAGGGCTCACAGAACCGCAGATTCAGAGTGGGTTCAAGCCTCCTTGGCCACGTGGTCAAGCCTGTGCCTGAACAGGAGATAGCCCAGCCCCCAGTGGGAGAGGGGCCGACATCGCATTCTTGCCCGGCCTGACTTGGGGACAAATTTCTCCAGACATTGAGCCCCAACTTTCATCTTAGAGACTTTCATTCCTTCCCCACTCTGGGGCCAAAGAGACCAAAGATAATCCCTCCTCCCCAGGGCGGCCTTTCAGACATCGCTGCCACAGCTTCTCTCCCCACCCCCATGTTCCAGGGTGCCCCCACCCCAGTCTTCTCCCCCAACCCCCACACACCCAGTCCTCCAACCAAGCCTCACCATTCTGGCTGCCCTCTTCTCAACATCCTCCAGCAGTCCTTTTCCTTCCTCAGAGTTGGTGTAAATAGTAACTCTTTCTCTTTTAGCCAGCAACCCTGAGGGTCTTCCCTTCCCAGTTTGATTTTTTTTTTAATTAAAGGGGCCTTCACTTCTTAAAGAGGCCTATTTACTGAATGGGGGTTGCCTCACTCAAAGTGAGAACCTGAAAAGACCTTCCCTTAAAAGGGCCAGGGTCTCCCACTGCATCCTGGGCCATCCCCAGTCGTCCTGATGGATATCTGGCCACTGGACCCAGATGGCTCCAGAGGAGAAAGGGAGGCTGGTGACTTTGCACGGCCCTCTCTCCCTCAAATCAAAGTCAACAGCAAGTCATGTCATCATCTCCCTGATGTCACGGTCGTCTTCCAGAACGAAGGACAAACCAGGATTTCCTTCCTAGAAAAAGATTCTCAGAAGCAGGGAAAAGAGTCCTCAATGGCATGGTAGAAAGAAGGCTGGATTGGAGCAAAAGTCCTGAGTTCAAAATCCACCTCTGTAACTTATAACTTGTGTGACCTTGGACAAGTATTTCATCTTCCTAAGCCACGGTTTCCTCATTTATAAAATGGGGAGATTGGACTCAGTTGCACTAGGGTCCCTTCTAACTCTTATTCTGTAATCCTGTGAGATAAGATGAGAAACCAAAGCCTCACCATATAGAGGTGAGGGGCTATGGGGACTGAATGTCACATGCGCTGATAGACATGGCCACAGAGGCAGTCAGTTTCACGTCTCTTGTTCTCTCAGTTATAAGGGAAGTTTGGAGTGAGGATTATTGGGATGCCAGCAATTTGGTCCACAAGCATTTTTTTTTTTTGCTTTTTGGTGAGGCAATTAGGGTTAAGTGACTTGCCCAGGGTCACACAGCTAGTAAGTGTCAAGTAAGTGTCAAGTGTCCGAGGCCGGATTTGAACTCAGGTCCTCCTGACTCCAAGGCCGGAGCTTTATCCACTGCACCACCTAGCTGCCCCTCACCAGCATTTCTTTAGTGCCTGCTAGGTACCGAATGCGAGAGACACCAGTACAAATACTGAAGCAGTATTTCCTCTCCCGGGAGTGTGCATTCGAGTGGGCGTCCCCACAGCCTAGCAGAGGCATCAATCAAACACTAACAGTGAAAAACAACACGAGTGAACAAAATTAAGAGGCTCCTTGTCAGTGGCGGGCTTGGCAGTCAGACTCGTGGGCAAAGCCCCCGCCTCTCGGTCTTCCTCCCACCCACACTTGGCTTTGTTCCTGAAGCTGGAGGGCACAGGTGCCGATTTCACGCCTCTCCAGGCCTGTCTTTAACAAAGAACAAGGACTTTTGACAGTCGGTGACTTTCGAATGGAGGAGGGGGTGGTGAGCGGTTAAACAAAGCGTCGCCAGGTGTTCTCGGTGATGTGAGAATGATGACAACAATAATAATATTACATTCAGACCCCTGATGGGAGACACACAGAAACCAGTGCTCCCAGAATCCTTTATTAGGGGCCTGGCTGAATGGGCCCAGGCAGGTTAAACACATCACGCCTGATTCCTGGGAGCTCGCAGGCACTGGACCAGCATCTAGCAAAGTGAATACAAAGTGATTTAGAGTCAGGAAGGCCTGGGTTCACATCCTGACTCTGCCATAAGCCAGCTGTGTAACCTTGGAGGAGTCACTCAACCTCTAGACTCTGCGAAGCTCTAAGACTTTGTGTGAAGAGAATTTGTCCGGGGAGTTTTCTCATGTGACAGTTCCTTGTACAAATGAAATCCCAGAAATTCATCTCCAGTCTCAAAGAGTTAAATGTAACAACATCTGTGAAGTGTTTCATAAATTGTAAAGGGGTAGGTAAATGTCAGAGATTATTACGTCATTCAAAGTAGCAGGATGTTTTAAAGAGAATGCTTTGTCTAAATTTAGGCTGCTATCTGGTGCCTCCAGGTTCCCTAAGATGCCCTGAAAGTAGCTTTGCAAATGAAACCAAAGCCTTGTTCTGCAGTATGACTCCCCACCTGCCCACACACTGCTCCCTCCTGAAAGCAAAGGGCAGGCTGCAGCAGTGCATTTAAAATTACTGGCAGATGGATCTTCTATTTTAAAATGTGCTTAATTTTTCATTTGTTTTCAAGGATTAGTAGAGGCTTAGATGACTCCCAGCCCTTATGCTTCCCTTCACATCTAGCAAAACTCCTAGGAATGTAGCTAAAAACAATAATCTCTATCCCATAAGCAATCATTCCACTTTTGCTTGAAAACCCTCTTCCCCACCGCAGAACTCAACACCTTTCAAGGCAGCCCATTTTCCTGTCGGACGTCTCTCATGGATCACATCTATCTCCTCCTTCACAAAATAATCCTTCAACTACTTAACGAGAACCATCACGTCCTTCTCTAGATCTTTCCTTCCCCAGGTCAAACACCCCTAATTCCCTCAATGGACCCTCCTGTGGCATGATCTTGGGACTTCCACATCCAGGTTTCCCTCCTCTGGCCGACGTCCACCTTTTCAATGTCCTTCTTAAAGTGTGACCCCCAGAACCAACTGCACTGAGCTGTCTGTGGCCTGACTTAGGCAGAGAACAATGACTGGGGTACTGCACTGCTCCCCTTGTTCCAGACCGACCTTTCTGAATACACCCTACAATTGCATGACCTTCCCTAGCTTCTACGTTTCAGTGCTGACTCATTGAACCTCCCATTTAATGAAACAGATTTATTTCAAATGGACTTCCATCTAGCCATCACTCCTGCATCTGGGATTGGGGAGGATGATTTTTAGAACTCTGGTGTCAGACCAAATTATATGTCTCTCTAATCAAAGTCTGCTAGCCCATGTATCTCCCTGTCTCCCTGGTCTTCTTCCATACTACCACAATATGGACTCTGGGACACTTGGATGCCATCAATCAGCACTTCCTTGGCATGGTTCCTGAGGTCCTCCATCTCAGAGAGATCCTTTTGAATGTTTAAGATCTGAAGTTCAGAAACCTAAGTCCCTGTTGGAGTCATTTTTATAGTTCTGTTAAATGCCCCCCACAGATGAAATTTAACAGAGATAAACACAAAATCCCAAATTTGGTCTCAAGAAGTCAATTTCCAAAGTACCAGATGGGTAAGGTATGAGTAGATATCCACTGGTGTGAAAGAGATCTGGGGCTTTTAGGGGACTCTGAGTCTCACTAGAAGTCAATAGTGTGATTTAGTAATGCCAAGGCCACCCTGGCCGCCATAAAAGTGCCCACAATGAGGCAGGTGGCCATCTAGCTATTCTCCACCCCATGTATGATCTTAGAGACAGAGATGAGGTCCACAGTTTAGGAAGGGCCCTGTTGGAGCACAGGCAGAGAAATGGCAAGGGTGGCAAAAGGCCTCAGGGATAGATCTTAGGAGGACCCACTGAATGAGCTAGGACTGTGCAGAGTAAAGATTCAGGAGAGAGGATGGCTGTGTTCAAGTATGTAAACGTGGTACCAAATTGCTTAATACCTTGCGGGGAGAAGGAAAAAATTTGGAACTCAAAATTTTATTAAAAATGAGTGTTAAAAACTGTCTTTACATGTAATTGGAAAAAATAAAATACTATTAAAATAAATTTATTTTTATAAAAAAGTATTGGAAGCACTGTCACGTGTGAAAGGGATCAGACCCCCTCTTCTCTGCCCCAGGAGCCGAGAAAAGGGCTGTGAAATTCAACTCACACAATTTTGAGCAGCACAATCTTTTTTAAAGCAGTGATAAGCAGAATAATAAGTGTCTGTGTGTAGGAGATGCCCATCTTATTAAGCTCAATTGCATATTATTTTGTTCTGTTCCTTAAGAGAAAGACCATTTCAACCTCCCCACTGGATCAGAGGTCCTACAAAGAACCTTCTATTCTCCCTGCCCTTCAGCAGATTCATTACTAAGGGTCTCTGTACAGCTCCCTTTCTCCTACCCCAGCCAGGTTCCCCAAGCATCGCAAGGCTTCCCGTTCCTGGCCCCCACTCACAAGGCACAAAATGTCCCAAACTGTGCATTCTTTTTTGTTAAATACATGAAACGTGGAAATCATGAATTCTCCTGACAGCTGTGCCCAAAGGCCAGCAGTGTTTAGAACACAGATAAAAGGCACCAGGGAGAAATGCTAAAGAGTCCACTCAGGGGTAAACAAACTCCCCACAGAGACCAACTGAGCTCTCCGAATGAAAAATACATGGAGTCCTCCCTTGAGGAGGCCAAACTTCATGGAGTTCTGACTATAAATATATGAGCTGAACCTTTTTTTCCTATTTGCATTTTAAAATATACTTAAGTGAACTCATTTGCATCTATATTTTAGCACATTTTCAAAGGGGAATGATCAGTGGGACTTTTTTACCCCCGCCTAGAACTTTTAAAATGTGAGTTCTCTTGCAGAGGAGAAAGGTTTGTATTTGACTCTGAAGGGCGGATTAGAAGTTTCCAGCCAGTTACAGTTCTGTGGGAAAGAGCTGTGCATCATGGATCAAGGGAGGTAAGAGTCAATCCCAGCTCTGTTTCCCAAGTGACCTTGGACAAGTCACTTCTCTCAGGGCTCGGTTTCCTCATCTTTAAATTGAGGGGATTTGGATTAGATGATGAACAGCTGATGCTAAATGACCAGTGAGAGGCCAAAGATTCTTGAGGTTAGCCCACCAAGCCATAATGTAGGCAAGATAGAGCAGGACCCAGAGATTCAGGATGGGGGACATGCGCATAAAGATAATAAGAGTGATTAATGAAACCCATGAGTGTAGAGCCTCAGTTTACTCATCTGTAAAATGAGGAGGTCAGATAAGATGACCTCTGAAGTCATTTCCAGATCTACAGCTAAGAGCCTATAAGCCCATGACCCCAAAGGAATTCAACCAACCCCTGTGTTTAGGCATGATGATAATGACGACGACAATGATGATGATGGTGATGATGGTGATGATGGTGATGATGATGATGGTGGTGATGGTGGTGATGACGATGGTGATGATGATGATGATGGTGATGATGGTGGTGATGACGATGGTGATGATGGTGGTGATGACTATAGTGATGATGATGGTGATGATGATGATGATGGTGATGACGGTGGTGGTGATGATGATGACGGTGATGATGGTGGTGATAGTGATGGTGATAGTGATGGTGATGGTGATGATGGTGATGATGGTGATGATGATGACAGTGATGATGGTGGTGATGATGATGGTGATGATGGTGGTGATGATGATGGTGGTGATGATGATGACAGTGATGATGGTGGTGATGATGATGACAGTGATGATGGTGGTGATGACGATGGTGATGATGATGATGATGGTGATGATGATGGTGATAGTGATGGTGATAGTGATGGTGATAGTGATGGTGACGGTGATGATGGTGATGATGATGGTGATGACGATGGTGATGATGATGGTGATAATGATGATGATGGTGATGATGATGATGATGGTGATGATGATGGTGATGATGGTGGTGATGATGGTGATGATGGTGGTGATGATGGTGGTGATAGTGATGGTGATAGTGATGGTGATGGTGATGATGATGATGATGGTGATGACGGTGGTGATGACGATGGTGATGATGATGATGATGGTGATGATGATGATGGTGATGATGGTGGTGATGGTGGTGATGATGGTGGTGATGATGATGATGATGGTGATGATGATGATGATGGTGATGATGATGGTGATGATGGTGGTGATGATGGTGATGATGGTGGTGATGATGGTGGTGATAGTGATGGTGATAGTGATGGTGATGGTGATGATGATGACGATGGTGATGACGGTGGTGATGACGATGGTGATGATGATGATGATGGTGATGATGATGATGGTGATGATGGTGGTGATGGTGGTGATGATGGTGGTGATGATGGTGGTGATAGTGATGGTGATAGTGATGGTGATGGTGATGATGATGATGATGGTGATGACGGTGGTGATGACGATGGTGATGATGATGATGATGGTGATGATGATGATGGTGATGATGGTGGTGATGGTGGTGATGATGGTGGTGATGATGGTGGTGATAGTGATGGTGATAGTGATGGTGATGATGATATAATGCATAAGATTTTACAAAGTGCTTCATATAATATCTTATTTGGTTATCACAACAACCCTTTGAGTCAGGTGCTGTTATATCCCCATTTAACAATTGAGGAAACAGACCCAGAGAGTTTAAGGAGCTTGCCCAGGGCCACCTAACTAGTAACATCTAAGACAGGAATTGGAAAGATGCCAACACCCTGGCCTGGCCATCATGCCAGCTAGCTGCTTCTCTGGTCTATTCATGATCGAAGCGTGCACAAGTGACCAGGTTTTGCTCATCTTGGACTGGAGTGTTCAATTCCCCTTGTCTACTTTGGCAAAAACAAAAACAAAAACAAAACACACACCACAGCCCTCTAAGGTCCATGGCCCACCTAGAGTCAGTCTGCCTCAGAGCCAAGCTGTTCACTCAGGATTCAGTTACTTCAATCTGCCTCCCCTAGATGAGGTCAAAGTGGAGCCCATGACCTCAGTGAGGTAGGGCTCACATATTTTGTATCCTTCTTTTCAATTCAGTCCAATTCAATTCAATAAGGCTTTGAAATGCTTCCTTGTGCCAGTCCCTATGGTGGTGGTGGTGGTGGTGTTCAGCTGTGTCCGACTCTTTGTGACCCCATTTGGGATTTTCTTGGCAAAGATACTGGACTGGTTTGCCATTTCCTTCTCCAGGTCCTATAGTGAGCTCTGGGCAAAAATGAAACAGTCCCTTCCTCCAAATAGCTTATGTCCTAATGGGGGGAAACAGCTGGTACTCTGAGAAATACAAAATAGCTGCAAAGTAAGTCTGGACTGATTTCAGGGGAGAGAGCACCGACCGCTGGGGGGATGTGGAAGGGCCTCATGAGGGAGGAAGCACCTAAGCTGAGTTGTGCGGGGACAAAGGAATGCCAGAGGATGCCAAGGGGCAGAGGGGAGGGGAGGGTCACACATTCCTAGCTTGGGGGACAGCACAGAATGTCCATGCTGCAGCAAACAGGCCAGTCTGGGTCCACAGAGTATGTGAGGGGGTATCGGGGGAAGGCAGGCTGGGGCCAATTGTGAAAGGCCAAACAGGGGCATATGTATTTGATCCTAAAAGCAATGGGAAGCTGCTGACTCTCTTTTTGAGAAGAGTGCCGTGAAGGTCTCTCTTTTCCTTGGGATCAAACAGACTGAGTGCCTTTAGTCAATGGGAACAGTTCATGGGCCCAATTGGTTTGAACTCAGTGTCAGAAGAGTGAGCAGAAGGTGGGCCACTGGGGCAGACTTCTGGAAGAGCATGGCTGAGAGTCGCCCAGGTGGGCTGAGGTCTTGTTGGAGGGGATGCCCACAGCAGTGACATCATAGCTCTGCTGGAGCCCTGGGGCATGGATGTGAGAAGTGAGAAAGCATGTGTGGGCTGTGACATGCACCGATGGAGGGTGTCTCCACACCAGGGAGATGGCAGGTGCCTCAGAGCGCTTCAGTAAAGTCACTGCTGAGGCTGACAGTCTGCTTCCCTGGCTCCCTTCTTTGTACTAAATTCATGACTTTGCTGGCTGGGCGCTCTCAAAGAAGCCCAGGGGATTTCAGAAGTGCCCTACAAAGTCTAGCCCACCTCTCCAAAAAGATTCCCATTAGCGCTTTGGTAATTCAGTTAGGGATATCTGCTCCCAAATCTGCTGATCCCTGGCCCTCTTATTTCACCGTATAGCAGAGGCCTATGAGGTGATGAGGATTGTAGAACTAGAAAATATTTCAAAGGTCACTTATTCAAACACACTCATTTCACACACCAGGAAACTGAGACACAGAAAAGGGAAGTCATTTGCTTGAGGTCACACAGGTGGCCAAGCTGAAGGCAGTATTCTTTCCACTATACCTTGGGTGTTCCCTCCCCCCTCCCTTCTGGAGAAGAAGTGGTGGAGGGAGAAAAGCATAGGCCTTGGAGTTCAAAGATGACTCTCTGAGCCTCCCTCTACCTGTAAAGTCCCTCTAAATGGGGACAGAAATGCGAATGACATAAATAACTGACATTCACAAGGCACTTTACAGTTTGCAAAGCACTTTGCTTATGCTAGAGGGCAGAGCTCTGTCACTTACAACCTCTGGGATTTCGGGTCAATTCTCTCACCCAGGGAAGGGGCTCTGGAGTCAGAGGTCCTAGGTCCAAATTCTGCACATGGGCAAACTGTTTGACCTTCCTGGCCTCAGTTTCCCCATCTGTCAAATGAGGAGTTGGGGTAGATAACCTCTCAGGTCCCTTCTAGTTCTCAGTCTATGTAACTATGTCACCTGCTCTTCACAAAAGCCCCATGAGGGGGGCATTAGAGGTATTATTTATAGATGGGGAAACTGAGGCTCAGAGAAACTGAAGGACTTGGCCACAAAGTGTCAGTTACCATGATTGAGCTTTTCTTCAGCTTTGATTCTTCTCTCATTTCTCTCTAAACTCCTGATTTATCTCGTGCCCCCCATGTCAGCCTTGCCCTGCTCTAATGACCAAGCTTCATGTTCCATAGGACCCACAGTCTCTGGGAGGGAAGGTTCTCCCCTAGGAGTTCATTAGAAAAGAGAATGGCCTAACAGCATAAGCTGGAATTCCTTGATGGCAAAAACAGACTCCTTGGCCTGCCCAGAATGCCTTAGATTCAAGGGACCATTATTTTGACAATATCTGGAGATGAAGACATTTTTTTCTGCTTCTTCTAACGACAGAAGGACAAATGTATTTTCCTGTGAACTCGTGAGAGACATAGTTTTAATGAGCCAGTTTAACACAGAGCCCCAAACAATGAGCTTGCCTAAGTCGAGTTGTCTTGATTGTTTACGGGCTATTGAGAGGCCCTTTATGAGTTTTCTGTATTTGTTTACAGACATTTGCACTGTCTGCTTCTTCTGCGGAGTAAAATAAAAGTTGTAATACTATTGTTACCTTAAGTGCTTGCATGGGAGCAGAAGATCCTGTTACCTCCATTGTAGAAAGCTATGCATGATCTATAGATAAGTCACATTTGGAGATTTGCCAAAAAGAAAGGCATCTTTTTGGACTGGCCTTCTGGCAGTTCCTGTGGGGCCGGACCTAAGGGACTCTGACCATGGCTTATTGTCATAAATATTTGCCAAATGAAAATGAAGAAATAAATTGGCCTTGATTTCAGGGAGCAGCAGTAAAAATCCACCTTCTGAAGAGATCAAAAGAAGCTATTGACATTCATGCTTTAGATATTGGTGAATGACTGGCAATAGTCCAATTAGAATAGAAGACCCTGGTTTCATAGCCATATGAGGGCTAATTGAATGATGATGATAATAGTCATGGTTAGCATTTATATAGCACTTTAAAGCCTGCAAAGTGCTATTATCCGTGTATATATGTACACATAGAGATGTGCATGTGTGTGTCTGTGTATCATCTAATTTTTCTTCACAGCCCCGGGAGGCAGACGCTATTGTTGGTACAAGAGTCTGGGTCAGAAGTTCTTGATCTCCCGGTTTTCATCTGCTGCCGGTAGGTAGCCTCAGAGTAGAGAAAGGCTAATCTCTTATTAGAACTATTGGCAGCAGCTAATACCTTCCTGCTCCCAAAGCTTAATTCTGTTACTACCTTAATTACAGTAACACATAGTAATCAATTCTTGCTGAATTGGACCAAATTAAATTTCTTAAAGTGAGTTTATGGCAGTTTAGGTGATTAGGCACCCTGAAATATACATCAGAGTTTGACAGGGTGCTCTTCTGCCCTAAGTGTCCTGGTATTGCCCCTCAAGAACAGAAGGGGAAGAAGTCTCAAAGCTCCATTCTCAGACAAATATCTAATCACCACATCTGGGGCTGGTTCTCATCAGTAGCTGTCACGCCTAGAGATCTGACCAGTTCAGGCCTATTACCTTGTTCCTTCCTACCGTGTGCAGACAAGCACAGGCCAGCAGGACCTCTACCCAGGTGGGAAACAAGGACACGATGCCTCTCCTTTGTGCATTTCTGAAAGGATCAACCCAGGAGAAGATGCACAAACCCATATATCAGGCAATTTAATGTGACTATGTGAGACGCTGTAGGAGGGGAAATCCACAGAGAACAGAATCCTCTATGAGCATCCTAATTAGAAAATAGCCCCAAGCTCTTGTACAGCTATAACCTTTTTCAGAAACAGGGAAACAGCCACCAGTCAGATCACCAGCCTCAGAGGAGCCCTCGACACTGGGGTCAGTGGGCCCAGGATAATTTTGTACCTCCAAGGGGTGGCAGGTAATGAGACACCATCTTGCACAATGCATCCTTCAGAACTGTTCTCTTCTTCCCACATGTCTTCTTCCTCATACATTCTCTATTTCATTATGGTGACTGCTGCTGCTGAATGCCCAGGATGTGTGGCTTTCACTAAACCTGCACTGACCTTCCCCATCAGGTACCTGTATCCCAGAGCCTGATGGTGTTTCCTGTTGCTGAGTCCCTATCTGAGAACACTTCCCTATTTGCTGTCCCTCACGCCTGGGGTACTCTCTCTTCTTATTTCCACCCACAAGGTTCCCTGACTTCCTACAGGACTCAGCTCAAATCCCACAATCAGTAGGAAGCCTTTCCTAGTCCTTTCTGACCCCCCTCCTCTAGCTGCTTAAACTATCCCCTCTGAACTTCCATTCCCTCCACTCTGTAAATATCTTATATAGACCCAGTGATATGCATGTCGTCCTCCCATTTAAATGTGAGCTCCTGATGGGACCCTGCTTTTATTTTTACTTTTATCTGCAGTGCTTAGCACAGTTCCTAGCATATAATATAATTAATAAATTCTTTGATTGAATGAGTAACAGAATGCTTACTAAGTCCACCCTAAGTGATAAACCTTTATCTTCCCTTTCAATATACCACAGAAACTGAATTCTTCCACCTCTGTCCCCAAAGCACAAGGCTGAACCATGTTCAGAGTGAAGATGGTACCACCTACAATGTTATTGACCCAACAGTTCTCATCAAGGAATGACCTTGATGCCATTAGAAATCAAGGGTCTGAGATGGTGTAATTAAGGTGCCACTGAGGAGCATAGCTTCCTGAAATGAGGAAGTTGTAACTCTACTGTATTCTGCCCTGGTCAGACCCCACCTGGGGCATTGTATTCAGTTGTGGGTGCCATATTTTAGGAAGAACAATGAGGATCTTGGGTGGATCCTTCTGGCAAATTTATAGAAGGGACAGGGACAGGAGCTGAGCAGGATGGGTGGCCAGAAATGGGTTGTCATCTATAACCTTGGAGAGAAGATTGAATTCAAGGAGATCATAGGGCCATCAGATGATCAGAGCATTGAGAAGTTAGAGAGTATTGAAAGAAGAGCAATCAGCCTCAGCTAATGGTGAAAATTGGTTAAAGGAACTAAGAAATTAGTCTGATGGGAGCATAACAGCTGTCTGGAAGTTTTGGAGAGCAAGCATTAGATTTCTGCTATGTATTTTGCAAAGACTTATATGTGTATATATTGTTTCAAATAGAATGTACAGGGGGCAGCTAGGTGGTGCAATGGCTAGAGCTCCGGCCCTGAAGGTGGGAGGACCTGAGTTCAAATCCAGCCTCAGACCAAACACTTGACACTTACTAGCTGTGTGACCCTGGGCAAGTCACTTAACCCCAAATGCCTAAGAAAAAAAATAGAATGTACAGTCTTTGAGGCTAGGGACTGTTTTATTTCTGTAACTCTAGTACATGGTAGGCAATTAATAAATGCTTGTTAACTGATCACACACCCTTGAAAAAAGAATTCAGAGCAAAGGACTGAGGTTGTAAAAGAAAAATTTAGGTTGAAGGTAAAAAAATCTTCCTAAGAATTAAAACTTTGCAAAAGTGGAATGGTCTTCCAGGAAAGGTAGCAGGGTCTCCTTCTATATTAGAGTGGGGAGACCTTTGGGGTTCCAGCTGGATTCAAAGGACATTGATATTCCTTCTCACTCAAATTCTGTGACTCATCAGAGAGTGAGAAATAGATGGTCACTGGTCAGGGGGAATGGAAAAGGTATGAGTCTTCTAGGTATGAGTCTGACTAGCTCTCTCCCAGGATCCCTTTGAATCCCTGAGATTCTTCGATTCTTCCAATCCCAAGAAATTCATCAGTCATCGTTGACATTGACATTGAAGAAGGGGGCCATCGTACACAGACACATCCTCTGTGATCATATAAGACTTCTTAGTCAACATCAGCGGCACCCATGACCTGCTGCGTGCATAGTGTAAAATTAAACCTTGAATAGAATTTAAATACTGGCTGTAATTACAGTGAAAAAATCTTTCCCAAAGATACTGAAGTCAGTTGCACATTTCTGTTTCCAAATACATAAAGTCCTAGAAAAGTAGCCAAAAAAAAAAGGCAGGGAGGGGAAAGGATAAGAGAGAGTGGGAACATGCTGGCAAAAATAATAATAGAATGTTAAATGTTAAAGCATTTTAAATCCCTCTCTGGAATCATATGTTCCTGGCCAACATTTGGTGGTGGTTTTTTTGTTTGTTTTGTTTTTTCCTTCTTTTTATTGTAGAGACACCTTTCTGGCTTCATTCCTGACACGTTGGTGGCCCATCTACTGCGTCAGAGGCAGCAGCCGCTCCAAATGGATGAGTTGGTCTGGTGAGAAAAAGAGAGCTGGATGCTGAAAGGGGAGTGAGACCAATGGGCACTGTCAGTGGGAAGAGGAAGCTGAGAAAAAGGCCCCCAAAGAGCAGTGCTGCTGCCAGGAGGGCAGGTTGGTTGACCTCCCTCTCTCAGTGGGAGGTGGGAAATGTGCCTGTGATGGGAAGCCGAATTGCCCCAGTGCCCTTCGTTTTGTCAAGAATAAAATCCCAAGGGCCAAACTGGCCCTCGGATTGGCTGGGTGCCCTTCCTCCCTGCACATGTCACTTTCTGTTACTGCCCAGAGTTTTCCAGGTCACACAAGGAGGGTGGGCTAGAGTCAAGGCTTGGTGCTACCATCCAGGGAGGATAATTGGGGTGTTACTGGCTTCCAAGAAGCATTTCCCAGGCTTACGTTTTCTGTATACATCCTGCCTGCCGACCCCCAACACACACACACACACACACACACACACACACACACACACACACACACACACACAGAGGAAGGAGGGAAAGTGTGGTTTGGGACTATAGTGTTTTTATGGTCAAAGAGCTCAAACTAGGTCATGAGACCATAGTGTCAGAATTGGAAGGACCTCAGAAGCCATCTTGTCTAACCCAGACCTGAGTGTCCACTATCACATTACCAATAAGCGGTCGGGAGTGGGGAAGGAGCCTCCCAAGGCAGCCCAATCCACATATAGATAGCTAGTCCTTGGAAAGGTTTTGTTTTTGTTTTCTCCCTTAAGCTGAACCTTAACCTGCTTCTCCATAACTTCTACGCACAGCTCCTCATTCTGTCCTTGGGCCAAAGCCGAGCAAGGCTAATGCTCCTGTAAGTGAGGGCCCTTCAGATCCTCCCCTGCCCAAGTCTCTTCCTAGCTAAACCTCCCCGGTTCCTTTAGTTCATGCTTAGATGCCTTGAACTTGAGACCTTTCTCCATCCTGGCTATCATTTCCCCTATACTGTGGCCCCCCCCAGAGCTCAACCCAGTCCTCTAGATGGGGCCTGACCCACACTCCATCTCATCTCTAGGCCTCTCTTACCTAGGAAACTCCAGCCTTTGAGGCTACTAAAGCTGCTAAAATTGTGCCCCGTTGTAGGAAGCCTGGGAAAAGAATGCCTTTGATGATGTTTATAAGCCAAGACTGCCAACACCAGCTTTCAAGAGGCTCTGTCCCTGTCCTGAGACCTGGCCTGAGCTCACCATGAATTCAGCAGGTACCTTTGCGCTCCAAACACCCTGTAATAATGAATCTGCCAACCTGCTTCCTTTTCAGTTCTTCATTTTCATCACCAGCTCAACTGAACTCAGGATGTCCCTGCCCTCTGCCTGGCTCTCCTGCTTGGCCAGTCTGAATAAATTGCCATTTTCTGAGGATTCCCAGCTCAATGTACCCTCCTCTGCTTTCCAGTTCCCTTTAAATGCCCCCCATAGAATGTTACCTACTCGAGGGCAGGCGCCATCTTGTTTTTTTGTATTTGTAGTCCAGTTCCTGGCACAAAGGAAGAACTTTATGCTCTGTCTCTCTACCATGTATGAACCCACATTAAATGTTGCCTCCCCATTAGAATGTGAGCCCTTTGAAGGCAGGGGCTGTTTTTTGTCTTTCTTTTTCTTATCCTCAGCATTGTGTTTCAGTGCCTGGTACATAGTGGGTACTTAATGATGTCTTGTTGACTGGCTGACCGCCAGGAGTGCCTCTGCCCATCCTGTGTGCTCTAGCAATGGAAGGAGCCATTGTTATTACAAAAAAAAAATGCAGCCCTATTTAGCACAAGAAAAATGTTAGCAGAGCCCATGATCTGGAGCCAGGGGATGTGGATGGAAGCAGCTTTGCCATTTATGACCTCTCTGACCTTGGGTAAAGTCAATTCTCTCCTCTGGGCTTCAGCGTCCTTAGCTGTGAAAGGAAAGGGGTTAGGCTATAACCTCTATGGCCCTTTCTTTTTCCCCCCACTTAATACTGTTTTCTTTTTTCCAATTACATGTAAAGATAGTTTTCAACATTCACTTTTATAAGATTTTGAGTTGCAAATTTTTTTTCTCCCTCCCTCTCCTCTCCCCTCCCCAAGATGGCAAGCAATCTGATACAGGCTATACATGTACAATCATATTAAACATATTTCCACATTGATCATGTTGTGAAAGAAGAATCAGAACAAAATTGAAAAACCACAAGAAAGAATAAAAAGAGAGAAAATAGCGTGCTTCAGTCTGCATTCAGACTTCATAGTTCTTTCTCCAGATGTGGATGGCATTTTCTATCATGGGTCTTTTGGAGTTGTCTTAGATCCTTGCCTTGCTGAGAAGAGCCAAGTCTCTCAAAGTCAGTCACTGCACAATGTGGCTGTTACTGTGTACTATGTTCTCCTGGTTCTGCTTATTTCACTTAGCATCAGTTCATGTAAGTTTTTCCAGGTTTTTCTGAAGTCAGCCTGCTCATCCTTTCTTATAGCACAATAGTATTCCATTACATTCATATACCACCACTTGTTCAGCCATTCCCCAATGGATGGGCATCCGCTCAAATTCCAGTTCTTTGCCATCTATGGCCCTTTCTAACTGTGAATTCAATTGGGTGGGCAATGGTCTTATTCCCATTTCACACATGGAGAAACCCAGACTCTAAGTGCTAACACATTTAAACAACATTTAGGATTCTAAACAGTTAGTTATGAGTTTGTTTTTGCCCCAGGAGGAATGAGTTAACAAAGTATTAAGTTCCAGATAAAGTCACTTTCACCTTGAGTTTTCTATGCCACTTAAAGCAAGGGAGCCACATAGAGGTGAGTTTATCTCTCCATACTCATGCAAGCAATTAACACATCAGTCAACACAAAACTTAGAGGAGACCCAAGCCCTGGCCTCCTGGGGCTTACAGTCTACAATCAGCTCCACCCAACCTGAAACTCTCTCCAGCTGAAGTCAATCCAACCCAACAAGCATTTGTTAAGCAACTACTACATGCTAGGCACCGTGCCAGATAATGAGGACCCAAGTGCAAAGAATGACACAATTCCTACCGAGAAGGAACTTTCTTCTAATGAGGAGACAAGTCCTTATACAGACGAGCACATACAGAATACACATAAAGATTAAATCAAACACACAGGAGGTGGTTGAGAGGGAGGGCACCAGCAGGAAAGGCTCCAGGCACAAGGGGTGATTGAAATGAGCTGAGTCTTGAAGGAAGAGAGGCAGAGGGGAGCGAGGAAGACCTTCCAAATGTGGGGAATGGCCAGGGCAGAGGGAGAGCCATGGGAGAGGGAGTTGGAACCAGGCCAGGACTTTAGCCCTACACAGCCAGCCTCCACATCGAAAGGCAAAATGGCGGAGCCATACCAGCTCCTTTCTGCTGGGATGGTCCATCCAGGTCTTTGGGCAGTGACCTAGTGAAACTCATTATTACTCATTAAAATAGAATGATTCAGGATGGTGAAACCCGAAAGCATCCTGTTTCCTAAGTGCATCTGAGAGGCAGATATCCAGGCTGGAGTGGAACGTTCTGTTTCGAAGAGTAAGCAATATTATTAGGTGAACTTATTATTGGAGGATGTTCGATTTGGAGCCAGAGGTCCTGGGTTAGAATCCCATCTACTCTGCTTCCTGCCCTGGGTGACCTTGGGCAGTTTTATCCTCTATGAACAAAAGGGGCTGGCAGGTGGGAGGAAATGGGACCAGAAGACTTCAAAGAGCTGTCTTTTGCCTTTCTTTATATTCTCAGTGCTTCGCATAATGCCTAACATATGGTAGGTGATTAATAAATGTTTATTGCCTGCCTGAGTTCCAGAATCCTGATGGCATGAGCACCCTAGAGTTATCATGAGAAAGGCACTGGACAATGCCTAAGCTCCTTAAAGGCAGAGTGTTTTCCAATCTGTCCTTATATCCTCAGCCCCTGGCCAAGTGTTTCATACACAGTAGGTGTTTAATAAATGCTTGTTTGCCTGGATTGGAAGTGTGAGCTAGCATTCAAGGTGCAGACAATAGAGAATTTACAGCCAGCAGGGAACTGAGAGATCACCTACTCCAAGCTTCTCCTCTTAGAAGTTAGGAAGCAGAGACCCAGAAAGGGCAGGTGACTTGTCCAAAGTGGCACAGGTTGTAAGACAGAGGATTTGAACCTAGGGCCGCTGACTCTTTCTACTGCATTAGACTATCATTATTCCCATTTTATGGATGAGGAAATGAAAGCTCAGTAAGGTTCAGTAGTTTGAGCACTAAGTTCACAGTTTATGCTCACTCCACGGGGCCATGACTTGGCTATCCTACCTCTCAGAGGGCCAAGCGTCCTGGATTTCTGCCTCCCTGACCAGTTTCCCTGGACTCTGTCTCTGCCCTCCTTCCACTGGTAGCTCAAGCACAGAAAGTGGTCCAGACATTGGTTGGGGAGTGGGGAGGAAGGACATTCCTGGATTCTCTTCCTCCCTCCTGGACCCCTAAGAACAAGGTCACCAAGAGGCGTGGGCTGGCTCCAGTGGATTCCTCCACATCCCTGATGAGTACTGGGCAGGAGGGAGCAAGAAGAGGCCCCGGGACAACCCATCCAGGCTCCCTCCCTCCTCCATCCCTCCCTGGCCCCCAGCAGGTTTCAGGAATTTATAGGCAACTCCTCCCTCCCTCAGGCTCCATCTTGCCCTGGAATCCTCCTTTGGGAAGCTGGCATCCAAGAGAAGAGAGACCAGGGAGAGAAGGTGAAGCCCAGCACAGAGACAGTTAATTGGGCCCCAGGAACAGTCTGGCTCCTTCAGGGATCTCATGACTTCCTTTTTCCTCTTGTCCAAGCTTCACTCAAGTGACCTGATAAACATGGCCTTTGATAGCATGCAATGGAGGAGCCAATGGGGAGGCGGAATGTGATCCAGCCGAGCCCAAAGAAAGGGACAACAAGGAAACGAGTGTTATCTGGAAATTGTGCAATTCCCTAGTGAGATACTTGCCTGGTAGAGCAGGGAGGGATTGACTGACTGACTGAATGAATGAATGAATAGCATTTATTAAGTACTAACTTAAGGTCTCCAAAGGGGAAGTATAACCTGAACTGAGACCTAGAGAAAGCCAGGGACTCCAAGAGGGGGAGGGAGGGGATGTCATAACACACACGAAGAATGGGAAGTTCTCCAGTTTGGCTGGAATATAGATTGCATAAATGTGAGTAATGTTCAATAACAGGGAAGATCGGCTGGAGCCAGATTATAAAAGCCTTAGATGCCAAACAGAAGATTCTGTAGCTAAGTGGAACAGTGAGCCTGGAGTCTGGAAGACCTGAGTTCAAATCCAGCCTCAGATGCTTACTAACTCTGTGAGCCCGGGCAAGTCACTGAATCTCTATCTTCCTCAGTTTCATCATCTGTAAAATGGGGATAATAATAATAATAATAATAATAATAATAATAGTGCCTTGCTCCCTTGTTGTGAAGATCAAATGAGATACTAATTGTAGTGCTTAGCACAGTGCCTGACACATGGTGGGCACTATATAAATGTTAGCTATTATTATCATGAGAGTAAGATGGAGTCACTGAGGCTTCTTGTGAGTGGGGAAGGGTGTAGTCAGGCCCATGCTTCAGGAAGATCAGTTTGTCCAGATGGACTGAAGGGCAGAAAGACAAGAAGCAGAGAAGCCAATTAGGAGGCAGGTGAGAGAAGCTGAGGGCTGAACCAAGGCAGTGGCTGGGCTTGTCTCCCAAGAGAAGGAGAAAGCAGTCAGAGCTACTTAGGAAGGGGAATTAGCTTGGGAGGCAATGAACTGGAGATGGCATGAGAGCGGGCAGAGTCTGGGAAGAGACTGTACCAGGGCCACCTCAGCCTTTTTCTGAATCCAGCGATGGCTACAGGGCTCTGATTTCATCCCAGGTACAGCCAAGTCCAGGGTAATCATCAGCTTGTCCATAAGAGGGTTCCACAGTGGACGTTAAAATGAGAGCCTGTTTCTTCATTGAAGATAACTTCTGCACCCTACATTGGGGACCAGGGAGTAAAAGGGAGGAGCAGGGCGTGACTGGCTGATAGCCGAGCAAACAGCACCTGGTCCTTCTGGGCCAGAATCTTAATTCCCCGCTTGCAGTGACCAGAAGAGATCATAAGTCTTCCAGACCAAATTTCAAGGTCTGTTCTAGAACAGATGCCATGTCATCCCATGGTTAAGGCTAAACTGGACCCTTGGGCCCTCCCAAAAGTCAAGTCAACCAGTCAACTCAGGACCCTCTACAGCAAAGGAAAGCCCAGCTAGACCAGGCCCACTCTGGCTGCAAGACACTTCTGGGATTCCTCTGGCTGTCTCATGGCAGGTACAAGTCCTACAAGAGGCCTCTTTCTTACTCCCCCCAAGCATAAGCACTTGCCCCACCCCTCCATTTCCCAATTACTTTCTATTTGCTTCTTATATATTTAGTATTGACTTAGGGGTTCATGTTGCTTCACTCCAATAGCGTGTAAGCTTATGAAGGTCAGTTGTTGGAAGGGCTTTGTAAACAAGGTTCTGCCTAGATGTGAATTTGGAGAATTCAAATTTATCTCCAAAAAGTACTCCAAAATATTGGAGAAGGAAGAGAATGAGAATGACCAGTGACCTTGTGAAGCTAAGAAAGAGACACCATGCTCTTCCTATTGGAGGTATGTGTATGAGGTGGGGCGAAGAGCTAGACCCTCTCTGAAAGGGCCCTCCTAAAAGAGGCCACTCAAGAAGGGTGTGAGGAAAGACAGAGAAGTAGTGGTGGTTGGTGGGTCCTGGGGGAGGCAGCTAGAAAAGCAGAGGAGTGTGGCAAATAGGGCATTGGACTTGGAGTCAGGAAAACCTGGGTTCAAATCCTGGCTCATAAAAGTTACTTCAGCTCACTATGCCTTGGTTTCCCCACCTGTAAAAGGAGGGCTTTGGACTCAGTGACCTCTAAGGTCTTTTTTCAGCTCTAAATGGATAACCCCTCCAATAGTGAAGTCCAGTTAGAAAGCATAAGTATCACTAAAGGCTGGCCATGAGTGGTAAGGAATACTAAAAGGAGTTTTAGTTATGGTCAGAAGCAAGAAGAATATCAAAGATGGGATGATATTCAACATGGAAGTGATGATGGTAACAGATGACAAAAAGAAGGAAGACCTAACTGAACTTACTTTGTCTCTTGTTTTTTCAGCCAAGGAGAAGGATGTTTGGACTGAAAAGAACATAAACACTGAACAGGAAGTTGGACCCCAATAAAAGCGAGGAGCTGTTAAGGGAGCCCCAGCTGCACTCAGGGAATTCAAGTCACCGATCCAGGCCAAATGCAATCCCTGGGCTGCGAAGCGATTGGCAAAGGGGACTGCGAAGCCACTGCTGTTGATCTCTGAAAGACAGTGGAGACCAGGACCACTTCAATGTCCCTCACTCTTCAGAAAGAACAACGGAGCAGAGTGGTCAACCCATAGGCTAGTGAGCTCGACTCTGATTCTTGGCAAAGTCCAAGGATGTCTTTGAGGAGGTGGTGAAAGAACTTTCAGAAAAGGGAGAAGTGATGACAAAAAGCCAAGATGGCCTCGCCAAGAACAGTTCCTGCCAAACGAACCTACTTTTCTTTGACTAAACTGGTGAATCAGAGAAGAAGCAGCACAGTGTGGTAGAAATAGGATGGGATTTGTACTCCGTAGACCTGGATTTGAATCCCAGCTCTGCAACTTATTACCTCTGTGACACTGAGCAACTTTACCTTTCTGGGACTCAGTTTCCCTCACTTGTAAAATGAAGGGATTGGACCAGATGACCTTTAAGGTCCACCCCACATCTAGACTTATGGTCTTGGTGGTGATTCCCCCTGCCCCCTCACAAACTCATCGGATGTAGTCACAGAATACGGTAAAACATGATGAGATTTTAACATGTCAACAATGTGTAACACCCTGTGTAATCCCCTTATGGTCAAATCATGAGGGAATAATGGGTGTGGGCTGAACAATAAATTAGGCATCCTTCTGGGGGCTTTAAATGGCTAAACCCTGGGCAGATTTCAGCAACTGAAGAGTAGAAGAGACTGAAAGCCAAGAGCTGCCTGTGGAGGAGTAGGGAAGTCACTGGATCAATAGGAGATTCTGCATCCAATGGGGAATGGGGACATACACCCCAGAGAGATACAGATACAGAAAGATAATCACCAGAGGAGTGGAGCATGTTTAAGGAGCACGACCTCTGATAACAGAGAAAAAAATCAGACTATAGAAAAGGAGCCGACTCTGGAATTCAACAGAGCAACTCATCCAGAAGAGATACTAAAGACCCTAAAGAAGAAAAAGGATGCCCAGACCCTGCAATATCAGGAGTTATGAATTGGCTTGCCATAGAGGAATTCTATACATGTGCCTTGCCACTCTTCCCACAGATAGATACTTTGTGAATTTGAGGGAGATTATGCCCTAAATTTTTGGTGGTGAAGATTTTGCAGGTACTTTTCCCCCTCCTCTATTTTAATAAATATCTAATTAGGCCAGGGATTATTATCTAATCATGGCCAGGGTTGGTGGCACACACTTGTCCATGCTGCTGGGTAAGCTGAGGCTGGTGGATGACTTGAGCTGAGGAGATCTGAACTGCGGTAGTACTAAAGCCAATCAGGTGTTTGCACTAGGTCTGGTACAAATGAAGTGAGCCTTCAGGAGCAGAAGACCATCAGGCTTCCTAAGGAGGACTGAAAGAGCCAAGGTTGGAAAGACAGGGCCAGGTGAAAGTTTCAATGCCAATCAGTATCAGGATCAGGCCCATGAGTTGCTTCTGGACTTCCAATTGGGGTGAAGCAAGGGGATCCAGTCTCCAAAAAAAATCTAATTTTACCTCTTTGGTGTTTATCAATGGGAACCGCATCAGTGGGGGCTCATGAACTGTATCATTTTAGAAGGATGACTTCATACAGTTAGCTCTAGAACCAAGCATATTATTTTCCCTCTGGATGGACCCAAATGTGAGTCTGAATGCAAGTTGGAGGAGTAGACCAGAAGGCATTCTATACTATGGTCCTATGATCAGGGAAATCTAGGATAAATGTGGTGTCCCCCAGGAACAGAGGGCCACCAGACCCTCTGGCACGCTGTAGATATCTAGATTTCAGTTAAGCACTTCAGAAAGTGACGCATCAGATGCCTATCAACTGGGGAATGGCTGAGCAAGTTGTGGTATGTGAATGTAATGGAATACTATTGTGCTCTAAGAAATGATGAACAGGCTGACTTCAGAAAAACCTGGAAAGAACTGTATGGTCTGATGCTGAGTGAAGTGAACAGAACCAGGAGAACGTCGTACACAGTAACAGCCATGTTATGTAATGACTAATATTGTTAAACTGAACCCTTCCCAGCAATGCAATGATCTAAGACATCTCCAAAGGCCTCCTGATGGAAAATGCTATGCACATCCAAAGAAAGAACTATGGAAGTTGAAGTGCAATTTTTTCTCTTCTGTTGAGTTTTGTTTCCTCTTTCTGATGGTTCCTCCTATTGGTTCTAATTTTTACTTACAACATCACTATTGTGAAAATGCTTTAATAAGAATGTATATATTATAGCTTATATCAGATTGTGCACTGTCTTGGAGAGGATGGTGGGGAAGGAGGGGAAGAAAAATTTTAAACTCAAAAGGGTATGGAAGTGATTATTGATAAATCAAAATAAATTAATAAAAAAAATTTAATAAACAGTAGAGGGAACAAAAAAAAGAAAGTGACTCATCCTACTCTTGTAGAGAAAATAGAGATGAGGGGCTAGACAATTAGGTGGGTTCAAAACTGCTTAATTTTTTACTTGGGGAAGGCTGAAGTGGCCCCAAAGATTGGTTTCTTTTCCAATGCTGTTTAGAATTTTCTAATTAAGGATTTGAATGAAATCATAGATGGAATGCTTATCAAATCTGCTGATTACACAAATCTGAGAAGAAAAGCTAACATATCGGATAAAAATAAAGATTCAAAATTATTTCAGTGCACTGGATAGTTGGGTTGAATCTAAAGAGAGAAAATTTAATACAAAATCCTATTTTTTAGTCCAAAAAATCAGCTTCAGCGGCAGCAAGGTGGCGCAGTGGATAGAGCACTGGCCTTGAAGTCAGAAGAACCTGACCTCAGACCAAACACTTGACACTTACTAGCTGTGTGACCCTGGGCAAGTCACTTAACCCCAATTGCCTAAAAAGAAGGAAAAAAAAGTGGCTAAAATGCCTATATCCTTTAGGGGCAGCTAGGTGGTGCAGTGCATAGAGCACCAGCCCTGAAGTCAGGAGGACCTGAGTTCAAATCTGTCCTCAGACCAAACACTTGACACTTACTAGCTGTGTGACCTTGGGCAATTCACTTAACCCCAATTGCCTAAAAAAAAAAATCAGCTTCACAAGTACGGGATAGAGGAGGCATAGTTAGATAATAATTTGTATGAAAAAGACCTCAGGGTTTTATTAGACTCTAAACAGAGCTCTGAATGATTCAGTAGTGTGATATAATAATAGCCAGCATTTCTATCACACTTTTAGGTTTACAAAGCACAGCACCTATTGCCTCACTTGATCCTCACAACAGCTTTGTGAGATGGGGCTAGAAGTATCCCCATTCTATAGATGAGAAAATGGAGGCAGTTAGAGAGGTTAAGTGGCTTGCCCTGGGTCACACAGCTAATAACTTTCTGAGACAGCATTTAAACTCAGGCCTTCCTGACTCCAAGTCCAGCACTCTATCTGCTGAAGCCTCTTCCAAATCAGAGAGTCTGTGACTCCGTATTAACCATTTCTCTTACTATAATAATCTGTTTCAAAATTCAGACATTTTGGCTAACCACCTATTTCACAATCCATGCAGTGGAGACTGTTCCAATAATTATTTCTACTTCAGATTTAGAAGCTCACTTGAAACAAAACAAAACAAACAAACAAAAAGATGTTCTGTCAAGAAAGTCCAAATTACTCTGTTAAGAGATGTTATTTTCCTAGATAGAACTCAATCAAGTCCTAATTCTGAAACCTCACAAGACCATCGTTCAGGATTTTATTGGACAGGACTCATCCCATATGCTTTATTTGTTAACCTTGCCTCAGCAAATGCAATTCACACAGTGACTCTAGATGGATCATCTTTTTAATATTTCCCCTCTGAAGAAAAATTACCTGTTGGCCCTTCTATAGAATAGGAGAGGCTTACTAACCACAGCCTTCCTAGCAGATGATGGACAGAATATTAGGTGGCCACGAAGATAGACAGATGGCTGATGATCATTGGAATGGAGAAGGTATGTCTGGCAGAGAGAAGAAGAAAAGCCTCATCTTGAGGTAAACAGCAGAGAGTGACATCCAGATTGAGTAGTCCCAAGAGAGAGGAAGATGATGGCATTACTAGAAGGCATCAGTAATAATGAAGCATCAGAGGTAGGGTCATAGGCAGGTTAGGAAGCTAACTGTAATTGCCCTAGATCATCTTCAGATAAACATTTCTAGGAATAACTACCTCATCTTGTATTTGTTAAGTTAATTGTTTAAATTCAAGTGTAAGATTCTCCATTTCTCCCTATTACATTCATTTTATTAGATTTCACCCAATATTATCAAGATCTTTTCGGCTCAATCATCTAGTGTATTAGCTAATCCATCCCAGCTCATGGTCACTCACACATTTTATAAGAAGGACAGCTGTGTCTTACAATAACTATCCAAATTATTGATAAAAATATGAAAAAGCATAAAGACAATCATAGATCCCTAGGGCACTCCACCAGAGACTTCTGCCAAGTTTACATCAAACCATTAGTAAGAATTCTTTGAGTCGAGTCATCTGACCGTTTCCAATCCATCCACATGCCTAGGTAGCCCTGCCAACCACAAAAGAAGAAAATCTCAGAATCTCCGAGTTGGAGAGGACTTCAGATGCCATCTAATCTAACCCATCCCCAGGAAAGACCCCCCACTAGCAATTATTGAGCACTTGCCATATTCCTGGCGCTGAGAAATGCTTATCCAGCCTTTTGCTTGAAGACTTCCAATAATGGAGAACCTACCCCCTCTTGAGGCAAACCATTCTATTCTGGGACAGATCTTATTTATTGTCCCCATGACACTTCCACTCATTGCCTCTGGAGCCAATCAGAAACCCTTGCTGGCCTTTTGTGGCCAAGCCTGGACTCCATTTACACATGCTTTGCTTCTCGGTCTTAATTGTGGACACTGGTTTGGGAGAGAATCTGAGAAAGGCATTGGTCTGGAAAGGGCTTCCAAAGGAGCTCTGGGTCTGCCTAATCCCCACTCCCTCAGCCAGGTTGAGGGTCCCATGGAGTACCTGTGGAAAGGATCCCCAACAGGGTCCTCAAGTTCTGATTGGATCTTAATCTTGACAGATTCCATGAGAGAATCAGCCATGGTTTATATCAGCTTTTTTTGGTTTTATTTTCATTTGTTTTTAAATCTCATGGTGCCAGAGCCAGACAATTCAGCCAAGAGAGAGAAAAGACTTCTGATTGAGAAGGGCAATGAGTCTCTAAAACAGGAGTGTCTACACATGCCTGAGGGATCTGTGGACAGATTCCAGGGATCGATGGACTTGCTTTTAAAATATATTTTGATGACTATTTCAATGTAATTCATTTTCCTTTGTAATCCTATGTATTTTATTATGTTCATGTAAAACCATACTTCTGAGGAGCGGTCCATGGGCTCCCCAGTCAGCCAG